CCCAGCAGCCCGGCTATGGCTGCCTGCGCCCCGCTGCCCTGCAGCGCCCCACTTCACCTCTCGCACCCCGTCAGCGCCCTTGGCAGCAGCGCAGCATCAAGCGAGAGCGCAGCGGCACTTCCGCATTGCCAGCGCTGGCCAGAATGCCTGGCCTGGGCTGCTTCCTTCCTTTTGTGGGAGTGGCAGCCTCCTGGATGCTGCGTGTGGCCTGGCTGGAAGCTTCCAGTAGCTTCGGGTTGGGTCCCAGACCCTGTGCCCAGGCCCGAGACTACAGCTGAGGGCCTGGGCCCTTTGCAGTTAGGCACGGCCTGAGTCTCCGGACTTGGGCTGTTTGCTGCATCTGTGCAGGGCTCCCCGGCAGGTGCATTGGCACTACTGTTTTTGAAAAGGCCGAAGGCCTGCTTCCCAATGTATCGGCCCTGCTTTGTGTATGTGTGCCCAGGCGCAACTGTCAAGGCCTGGGCCAACTGTATGACGCAGCAATGTGAGACTCACGCATCTTCCCAACCAACTGCCGTGCTGCGAGAGCCTGAATACCCACATATGGAAATGTCGAATTTTGCCTTTGACGAATATTCAGGCCCACCTTTACTAAGGGCAGGCACTTGGCTTAGTGGGGGCCTTAGCCCAGAACAATGTGAGTCTGTTAGGGCCCCTTGAGGGCTTGTTCCTCACATTCCATCCCCCTTAGCTTCGAAAGTCCGCTGAGATGCTTCATGCTGGTGCCTTCCCTTTCAGTTTCTTCTCATAATCTGCCACGATCTGAGGAGCTGTCTTGACAAGTTCCTCCCTTGAGATCCATCGATTTTCCTTTGGATCCGTATGATGCCTGAAATGTACTATGTATTCCCTCGCAGGTTTGGGAGGTCTTCCCCTGCCTGGTGGCTTGGGAACAGGCGTGTCTCTGTGACCCAAGATGTCGTCCACGTCCACGTGGCCATCCATGGTTGGGGGCAGCATAGATCTCTGTGATGGGAACAGTGCTGTCTCAGCGAAAGGTGCAAGCCTGGAGGCGTGAAAAACAGGATAAGTGCGTAAGTGACCAGGGATACGAATGACGTACGAGGGACCATCCAAATCATTCCCCACAATGTCCATGACTTCCCAGGGACCGAAATACCGAGGCATTAGTTTCCTAGAGATGCCAAACTCCTGTCCCAACTCACTAGCCTTGACCCAGACACGTTCCCCTACCTGAAATGTGGACTGTCGGCGACGCTTGTTCTCAGAAGCAATCATGACTTCCTAAGATTTCTTGATGTGTTCGACGGTCTGCTGCAACAGTTTCTCATACTGGACACCAAATTCAATGGTTCCAGGAGTTGCAGCAGTTCGGTTTTTAGGCAGGAGGAAGTCTAGAGCAGATCTAGGCTTCCATCCCAGATGCAGTTGATTAGGACTGACTCCGGTGGTGCTGTGTATAGTGTTGTTGTACAGGCTGGCGATGAGAGGTAATTTCTCATCCCAGTCGTCCAGGCTGGGCTTGATGTAATGCCTCAGCAGATGCTGCACCACTCGGTTCATCTGTTCAGCCTCCCTATTTGCTCCGAGATGATTCCCAGAAGTCATCTGAAGCTGGTTGCCCATCTGTTCAGCCGTCGTCTTCCACATCTCGCTTGTGAAGCGTACATCTCTGTCGTTGACTATCGTTTTCGGAAGTCCAAAATCACGCACCCAGTTGTCCATGAACAGCTTGATGACGTGCTCGATCCTGGCAATCTCTGGCACAGCGATTAGTCTAGCGTACTTAGTGAACCTATCCACTATGACGAATATGTGCCTCTTGCCATTCTTGCTGGTCACGAGAGTATCCATGGAGTCCATGGAGATACTCTGACCTGGGCCAGCAGGAATGGGTAGAGGCTTTAACCCAAGCGGAGCTTGAGTCCGCGACTTGTCCCGCTGACAGACC